TAAAAAAAAAAATCTTTTATTAAACGGAAACAATTATTCCCTTTCAGTCCCTTACAAGTTCTTCTCGGACCCATCTGGCCTGAACGAGAAGAGGAAGCAGCGGCGCATCAGGACCACGTTCACCAGCTCCCAGCTGAAGGAGCTGGAGCGCGTGTTCGCAGAGACGCACTACCCGGACATCTACACCCGGGAGGAGCTGGCGCTGAAGATAGACCTGACCGAGGCCCGAGTACAGGTGTGCCATCAGGCTTTTAAATCTTCAGCACGACTGAAATGAAGTGAAAGTCAGGACGTCTGACACTTATATAACAAATAAAACTGTGTATCCGCCTAATGCCCCGTCTTCACCTGTGTATGTGTGTTTCTGTCAGGTGTGGTTTCAGAACAGACGTGCCAAGTTCCGTAAGCAGGAGCGTGCAGCCAACGCCAAAGCCAACAGCTCTGCTGGCACCACAGGCAGCAGCACCAACAACAGCTCTGGAGGGAAAAAGGGCGGAGAGCCAAGATCTTCATCAGATGATGATGAGTCTAAAGAGTCCACCTGTAGCCCCACACCTGACAGCACGGCCTCCCTGCCGGGCTCAGCCAATGGAAACTTGGGGAGCCCTGCCAGTCTGAGCCCCAGTCCGGCTCCTGCCAACAGCAGCTACACCAACACCTCCAGCTCTCCGGTTCTCCAGGGGCTGAAGCCTCCCAGCTGGTCCAGTCTGGGGCCCTCCAACCCGGCCGTGGCGCAGCCCGCTGCCCAGACTCAGGAGATTCTGAAGGCCTGGCAGCCAGCGGACAGTATGACCGGGCCCTTTGCCGGAGTTCTGTCCTCTTTCCACAGAAAACCCAATCCCACCATCAAGACGAATCTGTTCTGAAGAACAGAGCAAGACAAATGAGAAACAAACTGTAAGCGAGAGGAGTTTCTAGCCTTTGTGGAGAGAGACAAGACTTGCCCATTAAAACACTGAATCCGTTGCTGTAGTCTGCTGCGGTCCAGCAAGGTTCTCAGTTCTTCTCTTACCGACTCAGAAAATAAAATCACAGGTCTGCTCACCATCTGCCGTCCAAAAAGATTATGCAACAGTGCACACTGTACCTGTAAAACCTACCTTGACACGGGCAGTTTCCTCCCTTTCCTGCAATGACTCCACTCTCACTCTCCGATAAAACAAAGAGAAATACTTTACTTAATAACGGTAAACTATACAGGCCCTTAAACTGTCCATATTTGCATCGTCTTTTCGGTCTGTCTGGTGCACCTACATTCCCACACTCACTGCACTGCAGCAAACTCGGTGGTGCATGGCAGCAGCTCTGATGAGTATGGCGGTCAGGTACGAGTTTAAAGCAGAAATCTAAACATCACACTCCGAAATCTGCTGGGGAAGCAAACTTTCACCCTCAAGCACAACTTCCTCTAAGCCCCCCCGACACACAGGCTTTCACCAGTTGAAATAGGTTCCCCCCTAAATCTCTTTGCCAAGCAGAGCAGGGGCACCCAAAAATCCAATTAGACCTGCCGGGTCTAGACCAGACATCCCCAGTTCACCTCACGCTCCCCCCTCCTTCTTTACTGTATCAAGTCCTCCAGAATCCCACACTCTCGCCGTCCCATCATGCCTTTATCTATCAAACAGTTTGTCAGACTTTTGCAAGGCAAAGAGTTGGAGACTTTAAGGTGTTTCGACTCCATTTTTAGTTCATATGCTGCTACTTCCTCCCCCGTTCTTTGTTCGGAATAAAGCAGATTGTAGCCTGATTATATCTGACGTCTCTGACCGGACTGAAGCGAACAAATGAGTTTGTACAGCAGGTCGCAGTCCGGGTTAGGGTCTTTAGCAGGCTTACGAGTCACACGTTTCTCTCCCATAGGTGACATGTGGGGTAATCTGGCAATACACTGAGAGATGGAGTTTTGTACTGTATCCGCATTAATACTCAGATTTTGTTTCTTCTTTCCTTTTTTTTTAGCTTGCGAGAGTTGCTTGTAAATCACCTCTATTGCATTTTGATGAAACTCACTGGTTTCTGAGGAAGAAAAAAAAAAGTATTTATTAATATTTTTATTATGTCAGTGAGAAACCTGCGCATTTATTTGAACTGCCCCATAAGGTTTTGTGACTGTAAATTCTGTAATTAGTAATATAAATATTAGGTAGGCTTTGTTTTTGGTTTTTTGCTTTACAGATCCATTTCATTGCAGAGCGCCTGTCTCACGGACCAACGCGTCAACGACAACTATGGACTGACAGAAAGCTCGAGTGAATGAGATGTTATAGCACTACTCTGAATATTCTAATAAATCTACATTATGGAGGCATTACCTGGCGCGCGTGGTGGTCTGGCTTCTTGTGTGTGGCATCACCATAACAGTGTTGTGTTTTATGTGCAAACATATACAGGTTGTCATACAAATCCAATTCCAAAAAAGTTGGGATGCTGTGTAAAATGTAAATAAAAACAGAATGCAATGATCTGCAAATCTCAATCTCAGTTAACAACAGAATAGAAAAAACAAACATATGAAATGTTTAAATTGTGCCTATTTTATAAAATATGAGCTCAATGAGAATTTGATGGCAGCGATGCATCGCAAAAAAATTGGGACAGGGGCAACAAAAGGCTAGAAGAGTCAGTGGTCCTAAAGAGAAACAGCTGAAGGAACATTTTGCAACTAATTGTGCTAATTGGCAACAGGTCAGTAATAAAAGATGATCAGGTATATAAAATAAAGCATCTTAGAGAGGCGATTCTCCAGTCTACAAATTGCAAAATTATTTTCTAATAATCTTCCTGAACATAAAATTGTGAAGACTTTACTATCTCACCATTCACAGCACATAATATCACCAAAAGATTCAGAGAATCTGGAGAAACTTGGGATAAAAACAGGCCTTATTCTCTCATGGAGATCACAGCATGGGCTCAGAAACATCCATGAATCATTATCTGTGAGCACCGTGCCATCCACAAAGGTTAAAGCTCTATCGTGCAAAGAAGACGCTGCATGTGAAGATGATTCAGGGGAACAATGCACATTTAAAATGTCATCACAAACTGAAACGTGAAATGCTGCATCCTCTGGATGAAAGAGAGGAAGATATTTTCCCATCCTTGCATATTTTAGCAGGATGATGCTAAACCGCATACTGCTGCAAGACTGCAGGTGCTGTACTGGCCTGCCAGCAGAACTTTCACCAAATATAAAAAAAAACCCCCAAAAAACAACCCAAACAAACATCTGGAGCAATGAAATAAAAACTATGACAGAAGAGTAAGGACTGCTGATCAGCCAGAATCTGATATCAGACAAGAACGGGACAGCATTCCCCTCCCAGAAGTCTGTCAAGGTTTACGGACTGTTGTTAAAGGAAGAGGTACAGAATGTTAAACGCGCTCCTGCCATAAAATCAGAGTGATCTTTTTTGTTCTTAAAATGATGATTTACCCCCCTCAGTTTACATAGTTGATATGTTGCCTTCATGACATTTGTAAACCCAGCTCTCGCTTTTTTGAAGCAAGTCTACAGCTCACAGCTTCCTCTGCTGACGACAAACCAAGAGAATAAGTTCATGTTTAAATATGTAAGGGTATTACAATTTAATTGAATAAAAATACATGGGTGAACAACTTACATTAATTTAACATAACCGACGTAGACTGCATGAAGAAACAACAAGAAATGGAGTGTCAGATAAAACAACAAGTCTCTTTTTTCCACTTACAAACACACACACACACACATATCACTGAGAACACTGAAAAGGCTCAAAAAGACTTAAATTTAACACAACTGAACGACAGATCCAGAGTCTCTGTGCTGTGACGGTTGGGCCGTTAAAGGATTAGACACATTGTAAAAAAACAAACATAAGAGGCGAGTAGAGTCAAAGGTTATAATTCAACAGTGTATTTGGGCGGGAGGGGGCTCTCTTTGAGGCGTGAATGAAGGTCTCATTCACAGAGTTAGAGATGAATGCTTTACTATGTTGACAGCAGTAAACACACATGACATTCACATCTTAGTGTTGGTGATCCCCCTTAGAAGAAGGCAGGTGTTAGGCATGTGGAGGTGAAGTCACATCTCTTTAAGGTCTTTTCTTTTTTAAATTGAAATTATAAACAAATAAAACTATCCAACTTTTAACTGCTTGAAAACTAAATCTAAAACCAAATTTGACTAAGGAGTGTAACCGCTACTGGCATACTTCGTCCTGTGTTCCGCAGGTTTCCAGGGTCAGGTTTGTGGCGCAACAGCGCCATCTGCTGCTCACATCCAGAAACAGTAGATCCTAAAGCTAGGCAATGCGTTGAGTAATTTAAGAAAAAAAAAACCCCAAACTAAATGACACTAAAATGTCAGAGAGAAAACAAATGTTTTGGTGTTGAATTAGTTCATGTATTTGGCTACGTTAACCAATTTGCCTGAACGCTGCTCCATTTATATATTTGAAAATGAAACGCAGAAAATATGCTGACATGTTTTCAAGGCAACAAACAATAACATACATTTTCTTCTGTGAATTCAAATTCAGCATCTTCACAGGCAACATGTGAGAATAAGAAATGTACTTTGCTAAAATCTTTGCCATATTTCACCTTGGTACAGCATTAATTACACCATTTAGCCTCCTCATTTTATTGACCTACACTGACTGTTTCAATAACCAGCTGCAACAGGCCACTTAAAAAAAAGGCGACTTGACAAGTTGATGGCTAACACAGTCACCTAACATGCTGCACCCAGGTGGAATACACCTTTAGCTCTAACGGGGTTAATTTGGTTTGCTCGATATTCCCTTTATCATTAAAAACATTGATAAAACCATAAATACAGACAGACACTCAGACAACACAGGCGTCCATTGAAACAACAGCGGCCTGCACATCATTAACTGAATACACAAACTGAAAAAAAATTTGAGTTTATCTCACTTAAGCCTGACTTTCTAGTTTCCTTTCGATCACCGCTTCCTGCTCTCCTCCATCACACAAGTTAAAAGGTTCCTCTGCCCGAGCTCTGGGGCGGATGTTACTTCCGACTGTTCTAATTATTCCCACTGATGTCTTGTTGTGACTACGAGTGGGAGGAAGAAAAATCTGAGACTCGGAAGAACCCAGTGTTGTTAAGAGTCCAAAGCGAGGGTGCGCAACACAGGTGGTGTGTTTTCAAAGCCCTCTTTTCTCTTTCTCAAAGTCATCCTCTGTTAGAGGATTCTCAGGCCAAATGGAAACAAGCTTTAAATGCCAACTTGAAGCTGCAGGTTGGGTCTGACCTGATCTCCTCTCTGGATTTAAAAGCCAAAGTTATGTAGTGATGCTTGAAGGACTGAAATGATTATCATTAAATAAGGCCACGTGTATGAGGACAACACACATAAAGTACATGTGAAAATCAAAGGACGTTGGTTCAGAAAGTGTTTTTGAAAGTACAAATGGAGTGCAATTTCTCTCAGAAGGCACAGTCTGGCATCGATTGGCACGTTCCAGCTCGGTTCAGTTGAGCTGAGATTGGGCCCGGTGTGGTACCAGGCCGGTTTGGACCAGTCATGGACCAGTTTGATGCAGTCTATTTCTGCTGCTGCTGCTGCCTGAGGCTCTCAAGCAGGATTCGCTTGTGGGCGGGGTCGTGCACTCCCGCCTCCTCCAGGTCCTCCTCAGTGATGTCACTGGAAAAAGGAGGGGGAAAAAAAGGGAATCTAATGATGAAGAACTGCTTTCATTTTTATTTATTGTTGCATTATCAGAGGAAATAAAAGCCTAGATCTTCATGTACCTGAGGAACTCCAAATCGTCCCAGCCGTTGTGTAGAAGACCCTGCTCATACCGCTCCAGGCCCAGCCTCTGCAGCCACTCGCCCACTGACGATTCCCCCACAGACAGAGATGAGCTACTGCTGCCCCAAAGTGCCTGCGGAGGAGAAATGCAATGCAGGAGCCACTAAATGCAGGAGCCACATCCGCCACATCATTTATGCTAACAACATTACTAAGAGCTTAAGACTGCCTCTACTTTTCTGCACTCTAATAAGGTGACACATCTTACAGTAAAAGGCTTTGATATTTAACATCAAAGTTGAAGATATTCGTGTTTTTGTGAGAAACTGCACAAAAACTGGAGTCACCTGAAAGAAAACGACGCAAAAATCACAGCATTGCTTCTTCCAGCCTCTGAAACGGTTTTACACTGAACAGAATTACTTCCCATGAACTGCTTACCTCCTCAGGCATATCCTCTGCTATACTTTCTGTGATGGGATTTCTAGGTGGGAAGGTGCGGCAGGCATCCAGACCTAAACCCATCGGCTGCCCTCTGAGAGGAGGCGGTGCTGAGGGGGCACGAGGAGGCTGTCCAGGAAACTCACTGTCACTCAGTGTCTTTGCCATCTGGAGCACAGAGCACGACTGGTCGTCTAGCGCCCCTGCTCCAACTCCTCCTCGCCTGAAAGCATCTCCGTGGGCAGCGGGGCCAGCTGCGGGGATCCTGACCTCAGCCAGGTCGGGGTAAAGGGAGCGAGGTTTGGTGAAGGGGGCCTCGGGAACCATCTCCAGGGCTCCCTTTGGTAGAGGAGGTGGGGGGAAGTCAGGAGGAGGTCGATTCAGTGTGCTTCCAACACCTCCTCCCTGTGCCCCAACAACACAAGCACCTCCATCGTCTTCTGAGGAGCTCTCCTCGCTAATGGCACGAACCTGTCTGCGTGGGTGAGGGGGCCCCGAGGCTGCGCCGAGGGGTTTGGAACGCGCCCCGGCAGAGGGAGGAGGGGGTTTAGCTGCCTGGGGGTTGGCTGAGGTAGGAGAGGGCAGAAGCTCAGGTGAAACGGCTGCAGCTGACTGGTTGGGAACGCCCTCCAGGATGTAGTAGGCAGGATTATTGTAGCTGTTCTTGCTGATGGATGGATCGCTGTCTGATCCGTCCTGTTTAGGTCTTCATTATAAACACAGAAACTGTTGTAAAAACTCTTTTCATCTGCACACATCAACAATGCATCAGACGATCTAACCTAACGTGATAGTTAAGTGTTAAGTGAAAGTGTCTGTCATGAGTACCTTGCAGCGGTCTCCTCCTTGCTGTTCCTTTCTCCCTCTTCACTGACCTTTCCCAGCTCTCCGAGGGGCTTACGAATCACAGATGGCCTGTTTTCAAAACACATCGTAACAAGTCAGCAGGCGGGACAAGAGAGAAGTCACGACAGTTTCAGGACATTCCTAACACGATGTTTGCAGGATGTTCGAATAGATAAACGTACAAATGGAGAGACTGCACCCTACAGGTGTGTCTAGTTGCCATTCTGACTCAATGTTATAGCGTGTGACACAGCGGACTATCAAAATGTGCGAGGTCTGTTGACACCATCTTTTGTTGTTGAGGGCAAACTCTTCTAATAACTAATGTTCAATAACTAATGAATGTTGTCTAAAGGTGCCGTAGCGGTACTTCTGAAGACTGCATAAAGATTCATAGAAAACATAAAAGACCAAATTTTATAGTAAACAAAAACAAAAACATGAACACGTGGTTTAAAATGTGTTTTGTGTCGTACTCAAGTCACACTGTGCAGGATAATCAAGCATCATCTTTATCAGTGTTTTTTTTAATGCAGATATTCAATATAACACATAAATACATCTAAATAGAAATAAATACCAGGCCACCTACACACTGCACGTACAGTATTTGCTCGGGTGTGGAATCCCATGCACCGAAGCTCCTGGTGCACATTTTGTATCATGATGGTAATGCCAGAGGAAGTGTAGAGTTCTGAGTCAGCAAAGTGTGTGTTTTATGCACTCTGTGCCTCAACACTTGGGGACGTGCTCTGTAACTCTGTCACTGGTCTGAGTTGCTGTGGATTCTAAAAACATCCCCACCACCCTGATCGCCAGTGTTAGGGTAAGCGGTCACACGAACTGTCTAAGTAAACACAGGGTTTCCCGATCTAGGTACCAGCACATTCACATGAAAAGGTTCATGTTGGCAACATCTGACCAGTCCCACTGATTATTGTACCAGCAGATGAGTGGCTGATTTTGCAAGGAGTAAACTATAATATGATAAATCAGGAAAAGCACCAGATATGTGTGCATGCTATAAATCTTTTGGCCAGTAATGCTTTAAAAGAGGTTTAGCCTATTTGAAGGAAGGAAGAAAAGCCTCAATCATTAAGGAGAATCTGATGGGTTATAATCGAGTGTTTTTTAAAATAAGGTGCAAATTTGCATGAGACAGTTTTAGTTGTTAATCTTTCAGCTGCAGACTTCAGACACTATTACAAATCTTGATACCATCCTATTATCTACACACAGAGGTATGAGAGCTCTTTCAGGATTAGTGATGCAACTAGATCTGTCAGCAAGTGGTGATTTTATACCTGTTGATCTATAATCGGTGCAAGTCACCCACTCAAGAAGAAACCCACTCAAGGTTAACCCTGAAGTTACCCAGCTCAGCTGTTCAAACGCATTCATCAACAAACTCACAAAAAGACCTGACTGCTACGACTCAATCCCATAAGGTATTTAAGCATCGATATTTAGGTACATGCCAGCACATCATCAACATACGCTATACAGAAAAATCCCCACTGACGTGTGGGAACTCTAAATAAAAATCAAGTGCAAAAAAAGGAGAGTGTACTGACTTCACATACTCATGCCCCGATCTGCATACCACAGCAGATTTCCCTTTAGGTCCACTCGTCTCATCCTTATCCACGCTGATCCACTCTGAAACACAGCAACAAAATCAGTTTTAGAACTAAACGTGACATGCTTGTAACCCTAGATCCATCACTTCCTGTCTGCAAATTTGAAAACATGCAGGCAGGAACTGTTCAAGTGATGGATGCAGCAAGCTTGAAAGACATTTAGTATCTCCTCTCTTTGTAGGTAATTGGTGTTAAGGTGTAAAGTGCATTACCGTACAATCGCTCCCTGGTTCCCATTCTTTCAGAAGGGACTCTGACCCTCATTGACCCTCGGATATTTCCTGTTTCCTCCCCACGGTGAGACAGGTAGGTGTGGAACTGTTGTGCTGTGCTGCCAATCATCGACTTCAGAGCCAACACGCACTCGCCTAAAAAGAGTGGGGGAGATTTGTTAGATTCCAGCAAACTAGATTCCCTTTAAACTTCAAAGAACCACAAGCACAGACAATCTTTATACCGTAGGACTCGTATCCATCCAGTGATTTCACTGTTAGCAAGAGATGCTGATCCTGCAGGTACTCGATCTCTGACAGAAGAGGTTTGAGTGTTGTTAACTGCTTGTTGGACCAGCCCACGCGCAGGAAGTTCACGTTATCGCTGCTCTGACTGTCGTTCTCGTAACTCTTCTTAAACTCTAAGGATTAGAGACAGAGAGAAAGACAAAGAGAGAGAGATGCAGGGACGAGAGGAAGGGGAAGAGGATAAAGGGAAGACGGTGGGGAAAAAGAGCGGGGTGAGGATTCAGGTACCCATTGCATTTTAATATAAAAGTACATGGTGGACAGGTGGCAGGGGCACAACACAGGTGAAAAATGGATTTTATGGATTCTAGTTTAAAGGTAATACTGACTGCCTGAGACCAGGAGGGAGGGAGAAAGATACAAATAAGAAGAAGCAAAAACATTTTTATTGCATCCATTCTGGGTCATGTTGCTTTACTGCAACTCCTTCTGTCAGACTGCTCATTATATTTATGTCTATGAGCATGAAAGAGTCACTGCAAAGGTGCAATCACATTCACCTCACCTTCTAGACAAGTGGAGTAAAACTCAATGAAGAACTTGGTCCTGCTCGCCGTCTTTACTATGGCCTCAATGCTCTCGAACTCGATGTAGGCCTGCTCTGAAGACTTTGGCAAACCTGTGCAGAAGTATGTGGACAGGAGGGAGGAGGAAGATGGAAAGAGGAGGAAAGATCTGTGTGGGTTGTGCAGACAGGCATGTATTTAATCACTCACTTTTAAATGTTACTTGTTGAACACGGAGCGCTTAAATAACATGAACAATAACAATAATGAACTCCAAAAAGATTGTGGGAGGAAGAAAAGCCAGATAAAGTGAGACCAGGAAGTAGAGGAAGTGACAGAAAGGAAACAAAATTAAATTTGTACCTTTTTTGGAGACAAACTGGGAGGTCACGCCCACCTCAAATGTAGCAAATACAGGGGAATGATCACTGGTCACAACATCATCTGTACAGCCTGGCAAAAAAAACAAACAAACAAAAATAAACAACAACTTTAATTTCTGTCCACTTAGCATTATGAGGTGAAATTATGAAGGTTTTCTTCTTCTGATGATCCTCACCATAGGAGTTGCAGACTATGTGTGTTTCTGGGTAAGACTTCCACAGAATCCTGTCGCACCACGATGGAACATTAGTCCTCATCTGGGACAGACGGAAAAGCAGAATTATCAGGACGAGGCACAAGAACAGAAAGAATTTATCAGAGGTGGCTCTGACGTAAGAAAGGGAACGTACCCCTGTGGCCTTCTGCTTCTGCCAGACATACGTATCTCTTGAGCCTCGTTCGTAACGGTAGGTGGGCGGAAACGAGATTTCTTCCTCCGCTGCACGCAAAGAGACACACATACACTTCAGTAAAGGTTCGAAGTTTAGCATTTCATAACAATATTTATAATTTTGATATAACAGCAGGTGTGATTCACAGTATTTATGACCCCGGGTTAGCAATCATGACCAAGTTCTCAGTAATCGGTTGGTATTTAAGGATTTATTACATGGCATCATGGATCACTGGACAACATTGCAGGGCAACGGCTGATTTTTAGTTACCTACTAAAACAAATAATCCCAGTGATATCACACACTGATCACAGTGTTAGTGCAGACTTCATTGCATTGAGTTAAGATTAAATAATGTTTAAAAGTGAAAAAGGCTTCAGCAGTGAATGACTTGAATTACTCACTTCAGAAGATAAAACAAGTCCACAGACCCACTCTATTGTTTGGATTAATCATTAACATTAAAAAAGGGTCCAAGTTCAATTCCAGTGTAATAAATGTCAGCAAACAGCCAACGTCAGTTCACTTTCTCAGTAAAAATCATAATTATCCAACTTTGTTTAACTCCACATCCTCCCCCCTGGTTACACCCCTCCTGCAGTGGCTCTGTGCCCCACCACGAGGGCACAGCCCACAGTTTAAGAACCACTGAAGTCTGGAAAGAAAAACCAGAGCTGATGGTGAACTATTCAGGGAACAACAAGAGTGCTGAGCAGGTGCTTTTGGTAAGTGTGAGTCATCCCTTCGGTTGTGTTTATAAGACCACTGAAACTCTGCTTTAAGGACAGCAGTCTTTTGTTAGTGTTGACTTTTCACTGGTATTACTGTTATATTTCTGTGCACTGAAACACATCCTGCTCTGACTCGTGAGGATATTCATAACCAGCACTAACCAAAGCGTAAAAACACTTTATTCTTCTCTCTCTCCAGGTTGAGCTGGTCCACTTTCAGCAGGGGGTCAAACTCCTTCCTGTTAATGTAGTTTAAAATCTCCTGCACACACAAACACACACGCAAAAAACAGCGTCACACAGAAAAGTTTCATCCACGTTTTGGAGGCTGCCTGTATTTATTTCTGCTTCACCTGTATGTCCATATCCAGCCTGTAGTTAAGGTCTCCCAGCCAAAAGAGGTGCGTGAAGCGCAGCGAAATGTCAAAGGAGCTCAGCTGTTTGTCTCCCAGTGAAAGCAGCCGCAGGATATCAAGGTAGTTCTGGTTCCTCCTGCAGAGGTCAAAGGTCACACGTAAGAAGACATTTAAACAAGCTTTCACCAAATTATAATGAAAAACCAAACCAAGTTTACACTTATGGCAAACAGAAAGCACAGCCTCTGTCAATTACTATGATGAATTATTAGATTATGAATATTACCCAGTGTCATTATTGATTTGACAAGAAAGACAAAATGCAGAAACTATGTGTAAAAAACAAAGCATCTCTGATTCTGAAGCTTGTGGAGCCAATTTTAGCAGCAATGAACTTGCAGTAATTGTGTTTGTATGATTGTACACGTATACGCTCATCTCTTTAAGGTCCTGCCACAGTATTTAAGTTAGGTTGAGGTCTAGACTTTGACTGGGACATCGCAGCACCTTCATTCTTCTCTTTTTCAGCTGTTCTGTTGAAGATTTGCCGCTGTGTTTGGGATTTTGTCCTGTGTTCTAAAATAAATAACATGTCATCTAAGGTTGTATTTACCTGATTCTAAGACGTGCTAAGGACCGGATGATTTTTTTGAATTATTTCCTGATATAAAACCTTAGAATTAAAAAGGGGGTGTGGTTTCTTTTGCTTTAGGAATTCTCTGTTGTTGATATTGAGAGGTTTAAAACAAAAAAAATAAATAAATAAAAATAAGAGCGTGTTGGGCACCTGGCAATCTTTTCATTCCCTGATGTCAAGTGACAGTTGACAAAGCCAAACGACGTCCCATTGAACATGAAAGACACGCCCACTGCTCCTTTGTTACCTAGAAACCATAAAATCAAACATTAAATCAAAATACAGCAAATTAGGTGCACTTACAAGCATTACTTAACAGAAACTTTTAAAGGATCACCGGGGATCTGGCTGTGATCAGTTTTATATTAAAATATGAGAAACAATGAACGGCTCCAGTTTGCTGAGCTGAAGGAAATCTGTGTTTTTTTCTCTTATGAGTTCAAGATTTTCGTGAAAGTTTAGATTTTGATTCACATTTTCTTACTAATACAAGTCCCACATTTTTTAATCAACTAACAAGTGATTCAGTCATGAACACTGCTCAAGGAGGCCATTGTTAAGACAGGAAATCAGAGCTATTTCCTCCTACATTTGAAGCAGGAAGCAAGACATAGGAAGGAATAGCAAAGACGGAATACAGAGTAGAGCCGTTACCCAGGGTATTGGCGATGCCCGTCTTGACACTGGACATCCCAACGTGGCTTATCCGGTTCTCATGTTCAGGTTTCACCAACACAGCAAGTTTTATGTTCCACAGAGTCTGCACGGCGATCTGCAGACGAGAACGAGACACAATGAGGAACCTACAGTCATCATTTCTGTTTTCGCACCATGCAGAAATAGCCTTTTCCCCCCCCTTGTCTTCAGTTTTTTTCCCCTTCAAACAGGGTCATTTTTATGCAAACCGCAAAAACTTCTGCTTGTATAGAGACAGTCCTATACTTAGCTCTATATTTGTTACAGGAACTAAAGTGTGGAGAGGATAAAGGAAAGCTGTGTAACCTCAAAAATAACTCTGTTTTTTAAGGTTTTGAAATGATTGTATTTTTTACAGGAATTTTTTTATAACTATGCATTACAATAAAACAAAAGTTTTAAAATGTTTCTTTTCTCATATTAGTCAAACATAAAAATGCAGTTCTGAAAAAACGATCAGACAAGAACTAATGTGGGAAATTTGTCTTTTTCTAAACATGATGACATTCGCATAATAAAAAATAAAAAAAATCAACTTTTTTTCATTCAAGTACAACAACAGCACTCGCCTGAGGGTTATCCGCAACACCTCCTTATGTTCTTCATACACATTCATCAAGCCATAAACAGTTGGCTTTCTTTCCTTACCGGCTTATAATCCAGTTCTGTCTGTTCTTTCAGCAGGGCGCGCAGTGACTCCACCCACTCCCGATCGCACACTGAATTTTCCTGGCTGCCAAACACATACAGGTCATGAGGGATGGTGACGGTCATCTCGTCCAGTGTCTTCCCGAGACCACGACACAAAACCCACGAAGCCACGTTTTTGGGTGCAGGTACAGAACCTAAAACGACAGGAAAAAAGGTCAAACTGTTTCCTTTCTCTTTGAACACTTTCAGATGTATTTGTAGCCATTAAGGCGAGTCGTTCAGTGTGACTAACCCATATTCCAGGTGCCTATGAAGATGGAGATCATGTCTGGCTCGTCCTGGTTGGAATGCTTGTTCTTCATCAGCTGCAGCAGCTGGCAGAACGCCTCCCGTTTCTGGCACAAACACACATCAGTGAGCGGATGATGCCACTGATAGCCGTCATTCTGAAGTTCCTCTGAACATCTTTATATTCTATACACTTACCAACCACGTCACTGGTTACACTCTGCTAATAATACCAGCTTGGACCCCCTCTTGCTTACACAACTGACTTAATTCTTTATTCTTCTCTTTTTCAAACCATTATTTGTAAACCCTAGAGATGGGTTCGTGGGGGAAAATCCCAGCAGATCATCAGTTTCTGAAACACCCAGATCTGGCAACAATAATCATGCCATGTTCAAACTCACTTAAATCACCTTTCTATCTTGCTCTGATGCTCACTTTGAACTTCAGTAGGTTGTGATTATCATATCTACATGTATAAATACTCTGAGTTTCTGCCACATGATTGGCTGATTATATATTTGTATTAACAAACAGCTAAACGGGTGCACATTACAACATTACAGCAAATCTGATTACGTACTCAGGCAGAAAAGGGATATGAGAGAGTATTTCTGCCTTAGTTTGAAGGCTGCATGTTATCTGTAAGTTATCTATGAATAGCTGTAAAATAGCAGTTTTATGTGTCCATTTGTTTCTCGTGTGCAGACCTTGGCACTAGCAAAGATGAAGTCTTTCCTCTGGCTCTTATCCTTCTCCTTCTCAAACACAATGCCCAGTTTATTCTGCACCCGCTGAGACTTGATCAGCTGACGTACTGAAAGACACAGAGGCGAACGGACAGCGGGTTAGAGATGGGAAGTTGCAGATAAATTCAGGGGAAAAAAGGTCATGTAACAGATTTGGAGGGTTAAAGAAGGTTCAAGTTGGATGGCGAGATTAAAATCCTATAATGGACATACTTTTTTCTGTGTGAATGGTGCCCCAATCCTTACTTTTGTCATGTGTGTAGGTGATCCAGTCCTCTTGATTGTCCTTCACCTTCTTCATTACTACCAGCCTTCCTCCCTCTACGTCCACAGACAGCGTGTACTTCTGACTCTTTCCGATCTTCGTCAGCTCCGCCAGGTAAACGTCGAGCTTCACCTGCAATGAGCCACAGGAGAAAGTTTAAACTCACTTAAACGCATACTGAGCATGCTTCTGTAATCCCTATGTGTCTACTGAGATAATCTACCCTCCACCAGGGGTCTCTAAAACGAAGCACAGAGCAGTATTAGATCTACTTTAGTCATACGCAGCCTCGAAGATGAGAAAACGCATGAATAAAATGTTGATGATCATAGTAAATATCCAAATTCTGGTTTTAGATTCATATCCACAAAGAGAGATGATCTGATTCTATTCATAGAGAAACTTTCTTTCACACATCAGTTATCTGGGGCAATTTGAGGATCAGTATAATGCCCAAGGACACTTCAGCAGACAGACTGGAGGAACTGAGAAAGACGGCCACCAAACTGCCAACCTCCTTTAGCAACACACCAGCTTCTTCGCACACGCATTTTTTTTTGATGTATAGGTCTTACTAAGAACCGCAAGACTGGAAAAAAGTTTAAACAGATGGCGTACACTCACTCTTACTCTGAGTCACTGAGTGCTTCTGTGTTTGGGTGTCACAAGGCAGATCAGACGCCGCATCTCCTTAGCGTAGCACTTGTGTGCAACAGGAAACTACTGAAAGGATGTCGCCACAGAGAACGCAGGCTTAGCCAACAGCCAATATTTCAATCAAGCATCTCTCGACTCATCTCTCAACTCTGTGTGTCACCTCCTTCCCCCACGTCCTCCCTGACATTTTTTCCCTCTACCCTTTTCACACTTAGTTCACCACTTTTCTCAAAGTGAAAGCCATTTATATCATCTTAACGTGTTCCTTTTTTTCCTTTTCTCAGTCTTCCTTCAGCATTAACATTTGCACTCCATGCAGCTGGTACTTTTCATAATAAAACTATTACAGTCTTATACACAGCACATCAAAACTGCCTCACTTAAATTCATGCTTTTACAAGGAAATGTGATAAAATGCTGCGACAGTGATGACGTAAGCTGGAAATGCATTTCAAAAACATTCTTTTGGCCTCACATCACATCTGCTGCTAAAATTCCTGTGCTGAGAAATGCATGACTTTTTAGCCTATTTTACTTCTGTTTATGCCATCTGTCATATTAAATACCACTGCCTGACAATAACATTTCAGAAATTAAATACAGAAAATAAATCTCAGGGTTTTCTACATACAAAAAAAGAACGAAAAAAAAAGATTGCTTAAAAAGATGCTTACCCAAATTGGCAGAAGGGAGCTTTAATGTCCACAGAGCAATTTGACTTTAAGGGCAATACTTAATTTCATTTGCCATGATATTGACCTACATCACATTGCAGTGAGACAGCCGGTAATGAAGTACAGTATGTAGGCGTGCATGTTTGGTGGATGTCGGTGCATACCTCGAAGGCCTGCACAGGAATGGATTTGCTGTGACGCATGGAGTGCAGAGGAGGGGGGGAGCATGGAGAGGTCAAACTCATGTCCTGTAGAGCTTTCAGGGCCTGAGGGGTATCAGAAAGAGGCAAACACGCAGGTGGAGAAACAATTAATTTAAAGAACAGAATAAAAAGAGAGTTGGAGGATAAGAATAAGGTACAGAAAAAAAAGAAAATAAAACTGTAACATTTTGAGTCTCAGGGTTTGTGTCAGCAAGGAAAAGGTTTCCTATTTCCTGGATGTGATCTAACAGGAGCAGGGAAGGTGGAACCAGTATCACTGCTGGACATGTAGCCTTACTACATTGAGGCCATTTCCTCCCGAGCCAGTGAAAGCCCCCCCCCCAAGTGACAAAGTAGAACAAAGTAGAACACAGAGCACCTTGTAAACAGAAGATTTAATTTATTATTAGTATTATTATTATTATTATTATTATTATTCTCTTCTGGCTCTTTATAATGTGAAACGAAGGCATCATCCTTAAAACGAGTCTCAAACCTTGTGTTTGTAATATAAATAAGGGTTATTCTGAACTGTGAATCATGGACAGTTACTCTAGGCGACTCCAAGAATAAAAACAGTAACCTGAACATGAGCGTATTGGGTCCACTTTTCTACTTGTAAAGTCTCAGACTCTCATTAACACATCAGGTCTTTGCTGACTTGTAGGGCTTCTAAAGGGAAGTCGAGCGATATCCCAACCCTGTCTCTTTCCTTCTGCGTGGTTTACACGTGCTGTATGTAAAAGCCTCAAAAGGAGAGAACGTCACGTGTTGCGCTACAAGCACACCCTGCAGGGCTTCTAGACAGATGATCCATCATGTGGAGAGGGTTATCTAAACAAACCATCTCCAAACTACTAGACTAAGTACATAGAGAAAATAGAAAGTAAGGTGAGAGCACACCAATCTTCACACTCGATGCTCACTTTTTCATTTAGATTTTTTACTCTAATCTCAACTACAAAGCAATAAAGTTTCATGACTTCATCTGGCACCACTGAACTCTACTGTGCTGACAAGCTTTTGTTTACAGATTGCAGAAACACCTGTCAGAGGACTCAGAGCCGTGGCAGATCCTGCTACTGTACCACATTTTTTCCTGATGACTCACAAAGTGAAAACAATAGCCGCCATGTTGTCCATCACAGCTGTTAAATGTGCCGTCTGTGCGTACCTTCTTTTCTATGGAGGACAGCAGGTCTTTGAGAATCGCCAACTTGGTCACAAGGTTCTCCAGTTCCTGGTCTCCACCCTGATTCACTGACTGATGGAGACAAAAAAAACAACAACATTAGAGTCCATGTAATCTGCAAAAAGAGTGCATGTAAAAAGATCAGCCTTAAAACTGCACAGCAAACACACTTACTTATATACAGAGCAGTCTTAAGGCTATTCAGTCTAAACCAGCCTAAAATCGGTTTTTATTCAAATTTTAGTCAAACTCATTGTCAGTCCTTGCTTGATGACTAAAGTGACTCCTGAACTTCAAATCAAGAATTTTGCTGGGCCACTAATCGGCCCTACTCTCTCTCCAACCACACGAAAATGTTTTTAATTACAAAGAATAACACATGCATGCAAAATCAGATTATATATTTTATTTGCCTGTTCTGTATACAGAAGCTTTCCTTAATACCAAGTTTCTAGCAGGAGCGCTACAGGGATATTTAAAGGACATCATGACTCACACTCTATCTTCTCTGAAACGAAGCGTAAAGCCCACCACAAGCGAGCAATCCTCAACTTTACGGGTTGGCAAATATAATAATTTTAGCTATGATCTGGAAGAAGGGCTTTAATAACAACACTGTTAAGTGTTAAGAAGTTACCAAGGCTTTTACATGTGTGTGATAAAGTAAGGGAAAAAATAATAAAATCACCGCGTGTAACAGTTTGTTATGGGATATAGGATAATAAAAAGGAGGGTAAGATTCTGCGATTGCGCAAACAAAGACACACACAACCACACACTTTTAAAAAAAGCGAAGAGTACCTGTACCTGTTGGATCATTTTGGAGACCATGAAAGCGCTTTGCTGATCAAACACTTTAGACAGGATCTCCAGGCCTGACAGAACTTTATCCACCTCTCTATTTGAGGGAGCAGAGAGAGATTCACATATTTACCTCACAGCTTCTTTCTGCACTTATGTCTTCATACAGTAACATATCTGAAATCAAGCTGATTTCCTGCGGATCATCACAGTGTTTAAACGTGCAAAAAACCCCAAAAAAAAACCCTAGAGCTGATTTAAGGAAGCAGATAGCTCTGTGGGCCGAGAGGTGTGAATCTTTGGCAGTCAGTCAATCAGGAAACCGACAGAATATAACACTACATAATGTACAATGCTTCACAAGTTTATTAGACCACCACTAATGTAAGGTTTATGCCACAGATGCCCTAAATTAATTATACTCATAATCACCAAAATCATTTTTGTGTGTCTTTTAATGCACAACCCACCAGTCTGTACAAGCTCTTTAATTATGATATTTTTAAATAACAAAATGCAAAACAAAACAAAAATAGGAACAGCTATTAAGTGCATTATTATTTTTAATGCCAAATTACAGATAACAGTGTTTTTTTGCAATCTTATATTTGATTAATTTCTGACTTTTTCAGGTCTCTGTGCTCAAATTTGGGTATAAAAAGGGAATTCAGTGTGTTACTTGCCTATTAAATACCAGTATGATTTGCAGTTTTAAATTCGTTTTGACAGCTTTCTAAAATATTGCACATGTGCAGATGTGCTGCTGCTTACCCATTAAGGCGTTTGCAGGAGGCCACTAGTGTCTTGTTGAGATGAGGCAGGGATGAGGCCCCCTGTTTGACTGCTTCAAGGTCCAAAGCGTAGCTGCCCTTCAGATACTCGTGGGAGATGGTGCTCAGGCCATTAGCTGCTGGAGTACTAAAACATATTCAAAGAAACCATTTATAACTACCACATGAACATCATTTCCAAATGCTGGTATGTGTATGAGAATACAAGGAGGCTTCAAATAATAACGATGCATTAGTGATTTAAAGTCCAGGAAGGCACAGATGGTTTTGGTGTGTTCAGGGAAAAAAAAAACAAAATAAAAAAGTTTTAGTGGCATTTATTTAAAGTGATTGAGAGAAAGCTAGACTCTTTGATGTGTCTCCTCTGGGCTCCATTTAGGGATGGGTCATATCATACCGTTCACAGTAATACCGGTATAATGTTGGGCAACGATAAGAAAATGAAATATCGCGATAGAATATGGGTAAAGCGCGCATGCGCAGTGCCTTTGTTTTCATACGCACATGGCGTAAAAAGCATGGCGGCAATGCAGAATGAGAAGGGCGAAAGCAGATCGTTAAATGAAACGGATGAACCAGAACTGGTTTGTAAAAATGCTGCAACTTCAGTGGTGTGGAACTGGTTTGGCTTTCATCTGTCAGATATACAACAAAGCACTATTTTTGGTAGAACGTGCTAGCGGGCCGTCTTTATTACCGTGTTTTTTGGAAAATACGGCACACTTAAAATCAATCCTTTGAATTTTCTGAAAATCGACAGTGCTCCTTATAATCCCGTGTGCCTTATGTATGAATTCTGGTTGTGTTTACTGACCTCGAAACGATTTTATGTCGTACACGGCGCTCGAAAATCTGTCAAATGTTTTAGTACGACTTTGCTAAGCTGATTGATTGATTTGATGGATTTTCGGAGCATTACGGCTGTCGTAGGCAGGAGCCTGGCGGAGTGATACGTACTGTGCTTCAACATAATATTACCGTATTGTGTGTGTATAACCTTTTTTTAAGTTTTGTGGATATTATACACGGTTATGCTGAGGATATGTCGGCCAATTTCCACTGGAAATGCCTTTTGCTTAAACTGTCAGCAAAGAATTTGCATTTGCACTGTTAGATTTTTATATAACTTTAATGCACATAAAAGCTGCTTGTTTAAGTGAAAATACATTGATGGGGTTTTTTGCACTAATAAAGTTGTGGAGTTGTAAAGTAATTTGTCTCGTGTCAATTATATATCGTGATAAATATTTTTGGTCGCATCGCCCTGCTCTAGCTTCATTTTCAGTTTTTTTTAAACAACAGATTAGGTGAGAGGTATAAAGTAGCGGTGGAAGAACAGTAATACAAACAGGAAACCAATGTAGGACGCAAGCTGCAGTGGAACAAAGGCCAAGAATTACTTATTTCTATCTATACCTGTGGGTAGAAGGGAGAGCTTCAAGACGGGCCTGTAAATTTCCACATTTTGTCTTTTATAAATTAACACCTACTGCAGCTTTGACGATGGGCTACACATTTTACACACACGTGTTCTCCACTGCCTTGGGCAAAGTTGCACCATAGTAATTCTGTAAAGGCATGACATAAGCATGAAAACATTTTGGGGCCTACTTAGAGCTTTTTACCGTTCAGTTTTCTGTCTGCCATATTTCTTGATTTTGTTTATTTGCTCTGTAGTATTACATTGATGCATTTACTGCTAGAAGTCACACGGAGCTATTTAAAGTTCCAGGTGATACTTAAAAAAAAAGAATAGTTGCTAAATCTGCAGATGCTCCACGCCCCTTGGAAAGGAAAATAAAGATGGACGTCACAGTTTGCCAGAAGTAGGATGAGTGTGTGCGCCCGTCGGCGAGAGAGTTGGCATCTGTGTAGTCGCGACTTTGTTTTGTTTTTTGTTTTTTTTAAAAGAGTCACATACTTCCTCTGAGCTAAATTATGCCCACCTGAACACTCATGGACACCCTGGACCACGTGAATTGGCAAAGAGCCAACCTATAAAAAATAAAACACCTTTGACAGACTAATTTTCAGCATTTACAACCCTTTCATACGATCCACACCATGGCTTCCATGTAAGCTATATTTTGCTGTACCACGCAAAGTCCCTGAGGATTTTTAAAGGACATGCATGTGTGCTCCCTTTACTTCCTCTAAACTGTAATGCATTTTATGCTCATTTTGCATTGTTGATTTCCATTGTTGGCAGCTCGAGAGAGAACAACTAAAAGAACTGAAAGGAAGATATTGTTTCACTGGCTGACACTTTAACCAAGGTTAGGTAATGCATAAGTTTCTGTTACTTCACCAACTGTTGTGTGAAGTGGTTTGGTTCCCACTGAAAAAACTGTAAAAGTGTATTTATTTATCACATAAGGGAAATGTCAAAAATAGTGCGCATTAGTAGTATTATTAACTGACAGGGATTTGAAATGTACGCGTCTGTGTGCGCCCGACAACTAGAGCCCGCACCTCATCAAAGCCGCACACCATCCGTGAACGCCGTGGTTTCTAGCAGGATGTGGTTTACCTTCTTAATGCAGACAGAGAGGAAGTATGTGTTAATGAGCGTGCATGAAGTTGTGTGAACGAGTGCTTTTAATAGTTGATAATCTGTGTGCGCGTGCGTGTGTAGCCATATAAACTGGAACAAACAAAGTCACTGAGTAACGTGTGTGTTCATATCACCATAATAACGCTTCCTTATTATTTTTGTGAGCATGTGTGAGATTATGTGATTTTCAATACGTCCGTGACATAATTCACAATGAAGCGACATACTTCCCCTGTGTGACTTCCGTGACTTCCGAGTGACGCGGTTGGTGGTTGCAGGTAGTTTGTGATTAAGCTCCCTACAGTTATAAACAGGACACAATCAGATGTTTCTCTCTGTGGACTTTGTACCTGTCTGTGGGTGTGTCTGGTCCAGGGGGAGTGGAGGTGGAGGAAGAGCGAGGGGGGAGGGGCGGCTTCTCATCCTCTCCATCTACCAGTCAGAAGTACACAGAACGTCACGGTTAACATGCGATGACGAGGACACCCCATCTGGGCATGTGTGTTTGCGTTAGCTCTGAAATTACCGGAATAGTCCCTGTCGTCACTGACAGCTGTCTCCTCTCTCTCCACGGGGTAAAGCAGGGTGGTGACCAGACCCTGGCTGGGCTGCAGGTACAATGACACCAGCTCTGGCAGAGTCTTAAACCGCTTAGGCTGCACGCCCTGAGAGGTCTGAGAGCGCGAGGAAGGAAGGGAAACAAGAGACAGATGCATTAAGTTCATCCAAACACCGTGGCTACAAGAAGTCACATTGCCCAACCTTCTGGTAGCCTCCATTGTTCCACAATGAATGTTTTGTAAGCAATTGCAGCCCTGTAGGCTAAATATAATTCAAACCAGGAAGAAGCCACAAACTCAATCGGATAAATTAAAATGAGACTTTTCAGCGTCACAGCTGAAGACCCCAAAACTCATATAGCAGTGAGACAAGACAGCTGTGCTGTGGCCACATGATTCGAAGCCCTGTGTTGTGTTTCGCGTGCGTGAGGTTGCTGGTAGCTGGTATTCACAGCTGTTGAGCACAAGGCACAAAGACCCTGCTGTTGGTGTGTGTGTGTAAGAGAGGGAGCTCAGAGCCAACGAAAGCATCTCTGCCTGCCAGCTGCTGCTGAAAGCACGAGTGTGAGAGTGTCTTTACTGTACCTGCACTGCCAGAAAACCTTCGTCATCTGGTAATATCCTGTATGTGTGGACGTGCTTCTGAAACCTACAGGCAAAGAAAGAGAGTAAAAAGAAGTCAGGGGAGCTGAATCAAAGAGAGGACAAGGGCAGAAAGTGGCAGCAAATGAAGTGGAAATAAAACACAGGTGGACGCAGAAGTACAGAGAATTTTTTCTATTTTTTATGACTCTACGTAAATTTGAATATCTTTATTTTCAGTTCACACACACACACACACACACACACACACACACACACACACACACACACACACACACACACACACACACACACACACACACCACTGTACTCGACCTTAGTGGACAGCATGTGTGATTGTATGCATGGGAGTGAGGAGGGTTTAGATGGCGTAGCTTAAACCTGTTGCTGTCTGTCACAGTGAGCATGCTTTATACTTACAGTAGCACGGTACAGTAAAGCAGAGCTGAGTGTTTGTACATCATAAAGTATTGACAACAGTTAAAAACAAAACTAAAATGGAGTAGACGTCAGAATCTAAATGATAAATGAAAGTACGCCTCTGTTGCATTAAACCACTGCAAATCAGACTGATTTGACTGAACCTCAGGCTCCTTTTTCTCCCCCATCAACCAATCACAGATCAATGTTCTGACACTGCGGCTGGCCCAGGCGTGACTACACGCCCACAGCCACAAGCTAAAGCTTAATGATTTTCATGCCTGTGCTTCTGCCGGTCCAGTGGACCGACCGCAAAATTTTTGATTTGCCAAGCAAACATTGTGGTTTTTGATTCATTGGTGTTCTCAGTTCAGAAGTTTCGAAGTTTCCAGCCTAACACCAAAGTCTTTTTTTTTTAAACTTCTGCTTCAACACCACGCTTATTTACAGTATGCCTGTGTGTGTATAAATGGAGGGAGGGATAAATCCATGTTGGGAATTCAACACCCAGCTGCTTTTCCGGCTTTTCCAGGTCAGTGTCCTGCAGGAGCTAAAACACGGACTGGATTAAAATATAAAATGATCTCAACAACAATGTATAAGAAAGTTAAAAACTAAACTTTTTGTTTGGTGATGCTTCTCACATTCCTCTCAGACCACCATGGAAATGGTTTTGATCATGACCAGATCCCAACGAGGGTCACAGTCTGCTTGAGCTGTTGGATGTTTAACTTGGTTATTAAATAGCATTTGTAGGAAAATGATTGGGCCTGTATTGAACTTTAATGGCATCTTAAAACAAATCATTTTGGGAGCTTCATCATTGTCATGCTGCAGAATTAACTAATGATTTTTGATTTGCACTTGCAAACTCACTATTATTTTAAACCTCTGGACTTGGTTGTTAAATAAGCAATTTAACTTTTGTCTCACAACAAGAGAGTCCTGGTTTGAACCTGGCAGGACTGTCCCGTGTGGATTTTGCATGATTTCATGCTTGTGCAGGCGTTTACTAGGACACTCATATTCTCCCGTTTATAAAAACAAAAACAAAAAAAACTAGGTTAACGCTGCTTATCACGGAGCAGGAAGCTCTCGTAAAAGAGATTCTTTATCTCACTTCACTTCCTGGTCAAAAAATAAAAAATAATATAAACACTCCATTTAAGATAGACTTTAGTAAAAAAAGATTATTTTACACACAAGCGGAAAAATGCAAAGCTACTCTAGTAATATCCAAAAAATTTTAAATTTAGGCGCTGAAAAGGAGCAAAATGTTGAACCGAGCACAAGTTCCCACGTTGACCGAATTCATAAACAGCGCATTGTTTTGCAAATCGTTGCAAATAATAGCTCCATATCAGCTCAAACTAACGAGACCAGATAAATATTTGTTCCTCTAAAATCAAACCCACATTCAATCCTGTCACATTTTAAACACAATAGCATGAAGACCGAGTGGCACAAAATCCATACGCAAGCGTCACTGCGGTGTACAATGTGTTTGTGTGCCTCTGTGTGTTTGTTTTCCTGTTGGCAGCTGATGAGATTCTCTGCAGGTCTGTGAAGTAAATACTATTGTTTCAACGGCCGTAAAGTTAACAGAGGGGAAGGGGGTCAGAGAAAGAGAGTGAGGGTTGTCGTGGGCCAGAGATAGGCTCACAGTATACAGCTTATGAGTGTTGTCAACAATGGCCTGTGTGAAAGGATAAGGACTACCCTACTGGCTCACTCTGTTCTGTTAGTTTAGAGGGAAACCTCTTCTAAGAATATACACAGCGTGAATCTGTCTTCAAAGCTCAAACAGAAGCCTATCTTGGCAAAACCCAACTAGGTTTTTCTTGAAATACAACAATCAAAAACTAAGATTACTCCTGACAGCCTTCTCCGTCCTTGTCGTCACGTACTACCAAAAATGCAAGAGGCCATTCCTGAACAAGCACAGTAAATACTGTGTGTATTACTGCACTACAGTGTGACTTACACTGACGATTCATTTCCTGCTATCACTGTATTGCTAACAATAGCACTATGGAGACGTTGTTTTTGATTAAGACACTTCATGGAGCATGTGATTAGCAGAAAAAAAATATCTGCATAGAAATATTTGGTATGATCACAAACAATACATATATGCATACTGCTTTTTTCCCCCCTTCATGTATTTGGCAGGCATGTTGCTGCAGCCAATTTGGGAAATTACCATCGCTCTTCTGGATTTAGAAGAGCAATGAATTTAGATTTAGGGTTTAGCCTCAGTCTCTTCTGTCTGATCACATGACCGCTAAATACATAATTAATACCCATTCATGCACCGCAGCCCTGAACTACCAAACAGAGACGTATGTGAGAATGCGAATGTCCCACTCATTCACTTAGGACATTGAATAGCCTTTAACTTGCCAGCTAGCTACTGGAAAGTCTGTGTCATGTCCAGTTGCCCCCATGTGAGAAAAGTGGAAGTAATACTGCGGTCAATTCACAGCTAGCGAGAGGGAAACATTCAATTCAATTCTGTTTTATTTATATAGCACCAATTCACAACAGCCACTTCAAAGCACTTTACAGTGTAAGGTGAAGAGCCTACGGGATTGAGAGAGAAACCCAACAATCAGATGACCGCCTATGAGTGAGCACTAATCAATAGTGGAAAAGAAAAACTCGCTTTTAACAGGAAGAGACTTCTGGCAGAATCAGGCTAAAGGAGGCTTCTCTCCTGAGAAGTCTCTGAGGCAGACCATCTCCTTTCCTTTCCACTGTTGCCAAGTGCTCACTCAAAGGATGCCGTATGATTGTTGGGGTTTTCCTGCTATTATTCTAGGGTCACTACCTTACAGCATAAAGCGGCTTGAGGCAAACGCAGTTGCAAGTCCACAAAGACATGCATGTTAGGCTACCTGTAGGTATGAATGTCTCTGTGACACCAATGTTAAAGACTGGGGTATGCCCCATCTCTCGCCGCATGTCAGCTGGGATTCGGCACCCACACTTTACTTTAACTGACTAAGCAGAAGAAAATTAATGGATAGATGAATGTGCGTAGCCATAGTTGGTAGTAATAGTAATGACAGTTCATTTGGCAATCAACATCAAGTACAAACTGATTACCATAGCAAAACAGAAAATACATGTGAAAGTGAACTTGAGTCTTGTTTTCTGAAGAAACTGACAAGCTAAATACATTTTATAAAAGAAGATGTGGTTAAGGAGAAACGAGTCTCTTTCAGAGGGATTTTTCACTCAATGACAACTGACATAAGGACAGTAAAAACGAAACAGCAGATATTGTTTCAAATTACTTAGACAATATCAGACTAAATAGGAAGGGATTCTCTGTGTACTGGAAAGAAGTTTAGAAAAAAAAGGAGAATTTGAAAACTCTACAAAGAGCAAAACACTTTCTACGTGAGGAATGTCTGCACACAAACTTGTACGTTTGAAATGCACACACACACACACACAGGTACACAGAGGCATCCTGAACCCTGGCAAGTTAAGACGTGTTAAACTGATAGTAACGACCGTATTCCTGACAGCAAAAACAGAAAACAGCTGAGAGACAGGGACTAGCATACACTCAAAACTATTAGCATATAAGCTCATCTCACTGCCGGCACCTTTCCCGTCTTAAAATGTGTAAGCCAATGATTTTACAGAACTGTGTGCTAATCATTGAGAGCTTTAACATGCTACATTGGACTCGTACTGCATCCACGCAAATTAAAACATTCATAGCTCACAAATACTAAACACGAGTATTAAACTTGCATGCAGACACACAAAATCCAAAGTCACTATAAGAGGAAGTGAAAGGCTAATGCTTGGCTAACGAAAGTATCAAGAGTCAGCCAGTCGAAACAAGTGGAAACACTTCCTAAATGCACCAGGGTCTCCTAAGACCTCAAAAAGGAAGTGTGTGTGTCCCTGTCTATAAGTCACACGTCCGACTTTGAAAAGACTTGAACATGTCAGGTAAAAAAACAAACAAATCCTTGGTTTGTGCATTTCGTGGGTGTCCACTGTATATTCCCCACTGAAAGAAGTCACATTCGTACTCATTGGACTTTATTTTTAATTCTGTATAATAGAATTAAAAGCACCATTTCAGTGGATTAAGTGGGGGGTATAGTGATCAGGTGAATGTGAGATAAAGAAAACATTGAGCGGACGTGCTTCACTCACATCAGCCCTCTGAGCATCCAAAGTGGCACGCTGGCCCTGTGACAAAAAAAAAAGTGTGCCGTTCGATGGTTAAACCTTTCCACACATCTGCTGATTCACATTTTACTTCCTAGAAACGCTGGTTTACACAGCAGCGAGTGCAAAACTTGACAAAGGCGACAAATAAATGTCTTGTCTGACCATCGAATCGTTTTCTCTTTAGCTGGAGGCATTACTGGGAAACACCAAGTCATCCGTGTTCTCGAGAAGTGAGCCACTTCTTTCTGGTTTTCCTAGCAGCACTGGTTCATCTCTGTGAGTGGCCTACAAGGGTGCTTTGCAAATAATGTTCAATTAATCAGTGCGATTCGCACTCACAATAACATTCACAGAGAAAATGCTTTACAAGCAAATATGCTCCACCTTTATTTTAAATTGCACATTCATCTTCTTGTTTGTGGGTAATATAGGCACATAATTAATGCTCAAGCTTGGGTTTCTTGGCAAGCAATGAATCGCAACAACTGTCACACACGCCACTAGGTAAGCGTAATTATTGAAAAGATATGTGTACATTTTGTCAAACTGCTTCTGACATTCCCGATTTGCACTCAGAATCAAATTACTTCTCTTTTTTTTTTGTTGCTCATGTGAGTCATTGTATTCAAATACAAGGAATTTTTATTCTCGGATAGTCACCCGTCAAAGGCCTTCCTCTAAGCTGGAAAAAACCCTCTGACTTACCACTTGCTCTAATTACAGCCAACGTGAGAAACGACGGGCGTACAATGTCAACAATGAAAAGTTCATCTTTCAAGATTATAGCAGTTTCTGTTCGTGTTAGTGCCAATTCTTGCAGTAGCTGTCATTTGTCTCAACGGTACGGTAAACTGTGAAACTCTGTCATCTTATTTTTGTGTATGTGAAACCAAAACTTCTGGATTTAAAAACAGCATTCGCATTGTTTGTCTGTAATTTGCCTGGAAGTTGTTTTTTGTTTTGGAGATGAAACAAAGTCAGTACTGTGAAAGGTGAAAGGGGAGAGGAAGGGAGAGGTGGAGGCACTAATAAATCCGGAAACTAATGATGCATGGATGCGAGGAATGCTGTCGGTCACAGAGTGACCCACTGAATGACGAGCACAATTAGCGGTGACATATCTGACCTACTATACGCTTTTAAAAGCGATGTGAGAACGCATGACCATAGCAGCAATCAGTTTACATAACAAAAAAAAATATTGCATTATATTAGCTGCACTTTCCAAAAGCCCAAAAAGATATTTGATATTTTTGGTTGACATCACAGAGGAAGCACTATAAGCTGTGATTATTTGACTTGCTTACTTTAAAAGAAGTTAGTATTCAAATTTTTGTGGATTGAACAAGCTCACTGTTTCAATTCTTTTGCAGTCCATCAGCAGGTGATGTATATGAGCTGTATACTACATGTGTAAAAACTACACACCCAGGGATTCAGCATGGGGTAAACTTATCAGATAGGGGATGTAGGTGAAGTGAATGTCAGGGGCCTGATATTTCTCTGAACCTGAACAGTGTGTATTCTATGTGTGTGGCTGTAAGTCCTTTTAGTCATTTGTAGTTAAACACCCCTTTGCCATGGTTCATTTAACATTGCCTCAACCACTGTTGACACTGACAGCACTGTTCCTGCATCAGTTTCTCAGGTGAATGCACTGTTGTGTTACTGTTACACATGTAGGTGTTTGGTGGAAAAGTCCCCATTGTGTAATGAATGGGCAGTCTTTCGTCATTTATTTAACAAGGTGGCTGCCCTAACTCCCTCTAAGTACAGACGCTCTTAACTGTCCTTTGATATTGTGTCATTTCATGATATACTATATTATGTACAGCTCCTCGGATAGGCCCATTCTTTCACCACATCTCCGACCTCAAATTAAAGCAAAGCTTCACCAGCCCATGCATGCTTATATTTACCTCCACGACCATTCAGTTTAATGCCACTGCTCACAGCCCGCAGGCTGATTGCAGCAGAGTCCTGTAAAAAGGGCGCTGCAGGCGACCACATCAGACACAAGACAGACAGGGACAGCCCTAAAGTTGTGTGCCATGCTGGGGTTTCACTGCAGGGCAGACAGGCAGTCTCTCTATCCCTGTCTTTGGCTTCCAGAAGAAAGTAAACAAACAACTTAACGCTTTGCTAGGCACACTTCAGCTACAGTTTGATCGCGTCTACTGCAGAAAAGTTAATGATGGAGTAAAAAAACAGAAAGAGAGGAGTTTATGAAGTTTGCAGAATTACAGAGAACACACCATGACCCCTTTTGGTCATGTGTGCTAGCTAAAGCCAAGGTAAACAAAGCACAACGAGGCCGACGAAGTTACTTACAGTACACACAAAGCGTAAGCCCCGTTGACACTCTCACTGTCCCGCACCAGGAAGCTCCCGTCTCTACCGGCTCGGGCAAGCAGCTCCTCGGCCGCCGCTCGACTCAGGTCCCGGTGATACCACATCGGCGGTGCGGGGCCCAACGGAGAAGCCCCACTGCCGCCGCCACCACCACCCCCGGCCATGGCCACAGCCCTTCCAACCGGGTTAAACTCAAGCTGCTTCCCGTCTCCTCCGAAAAAACTCCCAGCCCTCCTCCAGTATAGGAAAATGATCCAGCGAGAGAAGCGAAGAGAGGCAGAAGAGCAGAAAAGCAGCCGTTATTCCGACAGAAGGCAGGAGGCGCCACAGAAGCGACGGCGAGCACACAAGTTGTTAATTTGTTAAGTTATGCCGTTTGCGCCTGCTTCCTCAGTTCCTGAAAGGCTCACCGCCCTCCCCCTTCTCTTCCCAGTCCCACGGAAATCAGGGTATGTAAATCCACAGTGGAGACCGGGGAGCAACAGCAGGACGAAGTCGGTCAAGTCACCGTGGGGTCGGAAAAAAACCATTTCCGTTCGGGCGTTTCAAAATAAAACAAATTCTGGGCGAATTTCCACTGCGTCATTTTATTGTAAAGAAAAAAGCACGTAAAGTGGGTTTCACCTTCATGTCTGCCACTAACGAACTTGACAAAGAAGAAGAGATGAAGATCTCATGTGATGGATAAACATAAAGAGAAATGAGGAAAGAAGATAGAGAATAAATGAGCACAAGTACAAGGTAAATTCATTTTAAGCTTCTTTGCGCCTCTGTCCACTTCAAGAGAAATATTTGGCTTTACTCCACTACAAAGCTTAAGATATTGGTTTAATACACATCAATAAACAGTATATAATGCATTAATACAGTATATTATGGCTCAAATGATCGGCACCTTAACAATCTGCAATCTTAAAGTGCTTTGTAGACCTTTGAGGTAAGTACCATAACTACTAAACACTTTGGGTACAGTACTGTTGTACTTGGATAAGTTTTTCCTATGAGATTACTAACATTTAAAATGTGGTTTAGATGTTTTTTTCCAAAGTGATGAGTAGTAGTTTTTCATTCAAGTTATTAAAAAGCTTTCAGTAACTGAAAGACACACTCCTACTCTTGTGTCCCGGTCACTTAGCCTGCATAGTCAAAGCCTTGACTAATGCCAGAGGGCTTTCCTCTTTGAATATCAGTGTGACCTACAGCCACTGAGGAGGCCCAGCTGCAGTCATTTCTCAGCCCAAGCTTAAATCCAGTTATGCAATCCTTTTCTTTTCCAGACCACACACATTCACATGCACTCCCACAAGGTGTAACTGCCCACCTAAGGGCCAGTCTCACAAACCACAGGAGTAACCCAGCATTTTGAAATATTTGCTCGTTACTCTGATTTAGCCTTTTTCCCCTGCCCAGAATCAAGTCTGACTCTTGAAGGATGTTATGGAACAAGCAAGAATATGGGCATAAAGCGAGCGAGAGAGAGTGAGAGTTGGGCAGAGCAACGTGTGTTGCCAATGACCTCAGAAAAGCTGAGTATTAATAGCCACGGGGACAGCAGCCATCCCAGTGCTATTTCTGGTTATGGCATCACACTGTGTGTGTGAGATGAATGTGAAACTGTAAAAGTGTGTGGCTTAACAATGTGTCTGCATGCGTCGATCATAAAAGCATATTGCAAGATGTCTCATGAGTTTAAAACTACACTGTCAGCAAAATGTAGCGTAAATAACTCATTCTTGTCTTTTTGGCTAACCACAATTGTCTGCTGCAGTTGTTACAGCACACCAGTAATGGCCATTGCTGGGCAACACAGGAAAGACAACTTCATAGACACTTGATTCTTGAGATTTTAAGCCTGTGGAGGCCAAATTACTGGCTATTTCTTAGTACTCCACAATGTTAGCGTCATTTGTTATTGTAATTCACTGATGCCACACTTTTAGCTTTAGTTTCTCTGTTTACTCTTTGATATTCACATGCAGAATTTGCTGACATTTAGAGAAATGTATCTCCTTTATTATCTGTAAAACATTTTGTCTACCACTGACTGTAACTCTGCTGCTTTGTAGGCATTAATTAGCCCAGTTTAGTTGCGTAGAGTAGCTAATGGTTGCTGGTGTCAGGGGAATGTTGCAATTGGTATCATTTTTAACATGATGAAATGCAAAAACTCCATTAATATTTCAAGAATGGCTTTTTAAATTATTTCTTAGTGGACTGATTGTCTTTATACTGTCTTTATACTCACCTGCAGTCACTTTATGTACACCTGTTCCGCAGGTTGTGAACAAAATGATCTAATAAGCCATCATGTGACAGAAACTCAGTGTGTTTAGGCATATAGGCATGATCAAGTGGAGTTCAAGCTGAACATCAGAATGAGGAAACAAGGTGATTTAAATGACTTTGAATGTGGCATGATTGTTGGTGCTAGCTAATCTGAACATTTAAGAAAATGTTTTCCCCACATAAATGTCTCTAAGGTTTGCAAAGCATGGTCTGTAAAACAGGAAATATCCAGCCAACGGCAGGTCTCTGAGTGAATGTCAGAGGTCAAAGGAGAGTGGCCAGACTGAGGCTGCATCTGAGGCTTCACACAGTGTCAGCAAAATTGGACAAAAGAAGTTTGGAAAAACATTTAGATCATGGGATGGATCAGAATCTGGTCTAAACATCATGAAAGCATGGATCCATCTGTCTTGGTCAAACACTGGGTTGTTTGGTGTTTATCAGTCTCATCAGTCACTGTTTAAACGTAGCTGTTTCTGCTCCCAGCCTCCACCAGATTATCAGCCTCCTCATCAGGTTGTTTTGCAACACCTTTGTTAACTTACCCTCTCAGTGTGTTAGTGCTCTTTCGCCACATTTCTAGTTCCTCCTGGCTACATATGTATGCATAATTTTCTCAGGGATGAATAAAAGTCTGATTCTGGCTAAATAAGTGGTCTTCACATGTGCAGAACGAAACTGTTTCCTTTCTGCTGGTCAACTTCTACTGTAAAATTGTTTTGGAGCTCTCACCTCATTTCACCACATGCCTGCTCTCCTCTATCAATGTCCACCTCTCCTGGAAAAGAACCAATGGGCCAACTCCCCAGGGTCCCCTCAGCGGTACCCCTCAGTTACAGATTCCCTCTGAGTGGTACTATTGGTCTGACCAGCCCTTGGTACCATCCTGCCTGACATCAATGGTTCAGGGTGCTTTTGATAACTTAGTGGTGTGGGGGATAGTTCCTTGGCACACTTTGGCATCCTTAGTACCAACTGAGCACAATTTAAACACCACACCCTTCCTGACTATTGTTGCTGACAATGCCATGCCCCTTTATGACCATGGTGTAACCATCTTCTGATGACTGCTTCCAGCTGGACAATGCTCCATGTCACAAAACTCAAGTCATCTCAAACTGATTTGTATAGCATGACAAAGAGTTCACTGTGCTCAGAGTCCCTCCACTGTCACCAGGTCTAAATCCAATAAAGTACTGTTAGGATGTGGGATGTGGTGGCACAAACCTGCAGCATCTGCATGATGATGTCATGGTAATATGTACCAAAATCTCTCAGGAATGTGTCTTTAAAGCAGTTGTGATTGAGCGGGCACTGAGTGTACTTTGTTTACCATAAAGAACCAACATAATTTGGCAAAAATTTGGCAAACCGTCTTCTGTAATTCAAACTCTTATATACAGAAGTTCTGTGGGTGTTGTTTATGCTGTCAGAAGAAACAGGAAAGACTAGGGTGAGATACACAGACTAAACTCGATATGCTAAATTAACAGTGGTATCACGAGGAAGGGTGTTGTTATCAGTACGTTAAACACAACAAGTTATAGTTATAGTTTTTTCAAGTACTTATATGAAGTCTTGATTAAGTACAGGGTACATAAAATATGCATCTCAGTTTGATCCTTAAGCCTCCAAAGGCATCTGTGGTTACATTTTAACCAATCAAAAGCCTTTATCAGAGACCTGATGGAGCACATTCACATGCGGCATTGACAGGCACACATCAAACACGTGTACACATGGAGGGAGTTAGGCTCTCACTCTTTTTCTCTGTCTTTCTCTCTCTGCCACAAACACACACACTCAGGGGACTGGAACCCCATAATTACCGAGCAGCAGAGCCCACTAACCACTGGCTGGCCCCGGACTGATCATGTGATGGTGCGATCACTGGGGCCCAGCACGGAGAAACATTTTCCCAGGGTCAGTTTTACAGTTTCCCTCCTGGTCATTGAGGTTGTGAAGGGGTTATTAAGCTGATCCATAGACTGCACTTAAGAGAAATATCATTCCAGAGCTGTGCAGTAATACAGAATGTGGCATGTGTCTCTTCATGGCTTCTCCAGGAGCACAAGTTTATTTTTGTTTTATTTCCCCTGTCCACACAGATCTTTGATTGTACAGCACTTGTCTGGACACAAAATTGCTGTGTTGGCTGATGAAATTATAATCTTGTTCTTTATGTCTGTTTTCTCTTTTTTTATCCTGAAGAGGAAGACAAAAAAAGAGAACTGCCAGCTGCTCCCCACAGTAATGAGAGCAGATGAAACAAGTTTTATGTATTGAGCATTATTAACTGATTTGGACTTCTGATGGTGATTATGCTGCTGTTTAAACTAATTACCTAGTATATTCCCAAGCAGGTAACTTTTGTTATCAGAATACTTTTTGCATCATCAATACCTGACATTTTCTAGTTGATGAATTTTACTAGAATGCCAGCCAAAGGGGTCTTACTGTATATGAAGTGGCTCAGGGACTGACAGAAAGGTTTAAGAAATCTGTTTTAATTCAAGGTGATACAGCAATGGTCAGAAATATTAATTTTAATGAATCATTACAGAGAGAGATGTGACAGCCAGGAAGAGCAGTGTTGGCAGAGCAGAGCTTTGCTGTTGCTGCCCATTGTTGAGGTAGTACTCAGCAACCTTCTTGTTGGGGTTTGTGCCGGTGAACCAGAGCTGCATGCATTTCCCAGAGGTTTTGGTGTATGTGGTATAGATGTAAGAGTTGGACCAGATTTCTTCACACATGGATTTGGGTGTGGGAAAAACATCAGTCCACTTACTGCACTTGCTACCTTCAGGACATTTGTTGATACCTGTGACAGAATTGAATGCATTTGATAAATTTTAATAGTGTTGTTTCTGCATAGATGTAAATGTAAAAGCAACAACAACAAAAAATCTCTGTGTGAAAATGTTTTTGCAAAACTGGGAATATGCTTGCTGTGGTTTATAAGAGAAATGCAAGCGCAAACATGCATGTCTGCTTTGCTTTTCCAAGTGTGGGCCCCACCTGAGCTCCAGTCCCATCCCTTGTGCCAGTTAGTTTTGCAGGTGAAATCATTCTTGCAGTCTTCCCACCAGGTTTCACAGTCCTCCTTACATAAAGGCACATCTAAGATGCGCTCCTTACGCCAGCTCTGATCCACCTACACAAATGCACACCATTGGCTGATTAGTATAATCAGTAATGAACTAAATAAGCCCCTTTCCCTCATAGTTCTAACTACTGCGTGTGTATATATATAT